ACTAGGACCCATTATAACCTACAAATACCAATTTTCAGACAAATCCGTGAAAAAAAATTTGGCAAAAATCATAAAATATCGAATATTGGGTACCTCCTCGTTATATGGGGACTATACCAAAACGTGGAGCGATATATCTCATTTTCAATACCAACCATCCTAGACACAATACAAATTGTTCTGCAAAATTTTGACGCTCCACGTCAAATAATGTGGGCTGTATCGCGATTTCAATCGAAAGACGAACGGTCATACAGATAGAAGATTATAAATTTTATGCTGAATCTTATACTGATATGAATATATATATACTTTATGGGGTCTACGACGAATATTTTGGGATGTTATAAACGGAATGACAAAGTTAATATACCCTCCATTCCAAGGTGGACGGTATAAAAAGGAAAGAAATAAATTTATAAAAACAGGTAAGAAAGTTCGTGTCCCTTTGTTGGAAATGTATATGGGGGTCATTATTGTTTAGCGACGTACACAAAAATGCCTAAGTTTTCCATACAAAAAGTCCAAAAAATGGGCATTGGTTAGTGGTGACATAACCAGCGACCTGTAGTGTAAGGTTATCTGGCGCCCAATTGCAAAAACTGCAATTCCATGTGAGATAGTTCAGTTCATCGAAAAAACGAACTATGTTCCTTGAATGTGTATTACAAGGGTTCCGAAAACTGTTTCACGGAACTCTTGAGAAAATATTTAAAAATTGTGAATTTTATACCAAAATTATGTTTTCCCCTCCCCGACAGCAATCAGTGTAAACAGTTTCCAGAATAAAATTGGAAAATGCCATTGTGGTTAAATATAACTCATTATTAATTTATTTTTGTAAGAATATCACTTTTTTCAAATCTCAAATAATTTCCCTTCACTCCATCAACCAAAAAAAAAACAGCTCTAAAGTCCACCATTCAAACTTTGTTGGTTAATATTTTTTTTTTTTTTTTTTTTTTTTTGGAAAGACACAAAACTGTTACGCTTAACTGCCACCAACATCAGTCACTCAGTCCACCAGCCAGGCAGCCAGCCACTCAGTCCATTTATGTTGCACTTCTACTCTTCGAGGGGGCAATCAGGTCTGTTGTTAGAGTCAATGAAGTTGCTGGATTGTATTGTTATTATTACATTGTTGTTATGCCCGGTTGTACACCTCCTATTTTATTCGACTCGAACTCGGTTGAAAATTTTAATATTTGAAGTTAGCATTTTGAAGCTATAAATAGCGAAATGGCGTGCATGAATAGATGGAGTCAGATGGAGGAATGAATGAATGAACTTTTCAGTAACTTGTAAGTAAGTATGTGTGATGTTGTAATTTGGAAATGCCAAAAACAAAGGGAGATTGCTAATGAATTGCTGAGCTATTTGATCGATTTGCGAAAATTAAATTGGAGAAGAAGTTTAGTTGAAAATATAGGTAAAAATTAATACAGAAAAAAGTCTTTAAAAATTTAAATATTCGTGAAAATCAGTCAAACATTTCAAAATATTCTTAAAATATTCAAATTTCCTGAAAGGGTCCTTGGAAAAATATTATTCAAAAATTCCACCTTTGTTGGTTGAGTGGTCCTATACAATTATTCTTTAAAAATCCACATCTACAGGGTTCCTCCTATTCGACGAACCCATTTTTTTCGGCCATTTCGATGACTCTTTGGGCCCATTCCAATCGACGAGGCTTGTCCGCGGGCAACATTCTTTGCGTCAATTGAATTTTGTACGGGAACAAATGCAAATCAATGCGAATAATCCGTTGTAAAGTGGACCGAGCCATGCCCAACTGCTGAGAACGGCGCTTTTGGGATGTTCTTGGGAACCTCTCAACACTGGCTCGTACGGCAGCGATATTCTCGGCCGATCGCCTTGGTCGACTTTTATATGGCCTCTTCGGATTAGAAAGAGGCTTACCAGTCGAAAATTTTTCGTATAAACGCTTAATGGTGTTCTTAGAAGGCGCACTTCTCACATTTTTTAATGTTTTAAAAGCACGTTAAGTTTTCACAATTGACTTCTTCTGTTGAATGTAAATTTCAACTATTTCAGAGGGCTCGTGTGGCGTGTATTGGTTCATGTTAAAAATCTGCTTGGACTGACGCTTCAAACGCGGTATGCCATTAAGCGATGTGACATCTCTGTCAAAAGTTGTGGCGTTGCCAAATGGGTCCGTCGAATATGGGCAAACCTGTATAGATCGATTGGTCCTTGAAAAAAAATATTCCTTAACATTATGTTTTCAGCTCGGATGGTCCTTGAAAAACTATTCTTTGAAAAATCACGTTTATAACTTAGATATTTTCAGAAAAAAATTACAAAAAATCTACATTTAAAATTCGGAACGTCCTTAGGAAATATTATTTAGTAATCCACGTTTATAGCTTTGATGGTACTTCAAAAAATGGATGGCCATTGAGAAAGTATTCTTTAAAAATAGAAACTTATAGCTTGGGTGATGCTGAAATAAAGAAAGGTTTCAAAAATTAAATAATTAATAAAAATCAGTCAAATATTTAAATATAGTACTATTTCAAAATACTCTTAAAATATTCCCATTCCTTGGATGGTCCTTTAAGAAGTATTCTTCAAAAATCTTTAAAATCTTTATTCTTTAAAAATTTAAAACAATAGCATTTCTCCCCCAGCCCCTTGCTTTCTGGCCTAATTTTTTTTAAAAATAATTTTTCAATTATGCAGGGTGAGATGAAAAAACTGCAGCCAACTTCAGACTGCTGTCATTTCTAGGCCACTCGTCCGACAGCTGTTAAAATTATTCCCGTGACAGCTCATTATATTGTTTACAAGCGTTCAAAAGGATTTTGGTGAGAATATTCCAGAAAAAAAGTTATTCGTGATGGAATTCAAGCGTGGTAGTGTGATTTCTTTATATTAGGCTGGAAAACCACAAGTGGCCATCGTTAGAGCACTCCAGCATTTAAATGTGAATAAATCTTTTGTGTCTCGTACCATCGCTCGTTATCGTGATACTGGTAGCGTAGCCCGACGTCAAGGAAGTAGTCGAAAGAAAACAGCAACATCAGCAGAAATGGTTCGAAAAGTAAAGAAACGACTTGAGCGAAACCCGCGTCGCAGTGGCCGAAAAAGCTGAATATATCGGAATATTCGATTTGGCAAACATTGAAAAATGAGCTCGGGGTGAAGCCATTGAAATTCCAAAAAGTACAGGAACTTACACCGCAACAGAGAGAAAACAGACTCAAAAGAGCTTCGCTTGGCCGAAAGTGGTGAACTACCGAATTTGATTTTCTCCGATGAGAAAACATTCGTTGTCCAGCAGTTTGTAAACAATGAAAGTGATCGTGTGATCGGCGCTTGCCAAATTGGTCAGCTGAAAATGTGCACCTTCGGTTGGCCACAAGAATTCAAGCGTCGGCCATGGTGATGGTATTGGCCGCCATAACAGCCGATGGACGCTCTCCGCTCGTATTAATCGACGGTGGCATGAGAATAAATGCCAAATATTATCGCGAAAATATTCTGGAGGGTGTATTAAAGCCTTGGGCACGCAAACATTTTGGCCGCAGACCTTAGATATTCCAACAAGACTCAGCACGCGCCACCCATGAATGATTACAGAATGAGGTTCCTCGCTTCCTCGCAAAATGGGCACTAAAATCTCCAGATACCAATCCGTTGGACTATTGTGTCTGGATTATTTTGAAAAGCAAGGTTGGCACTAAAAACTATCAAAGTGTCGATCACCTCAAGCAAGCCCTTAGGCGGGAATGAACCAAAATACCGCATAGCAAAATTCGGGCAGCGCGTGACGGTTTCATTGGTCGTTTGATGGCCATAATTCGTGCCAAAGGTGACCAATTCGAACAAATCTATTCTAAAATTGATAATAATCCCGACATTTTTTTCTTTCATTCAATAAAATGTTTAAAAAAATGTGAAAATTATGACGTTTGACTTTGTGGCAGTTTTTTATCTCACCCTGTAGACATTTCTCTTCCAGGGGGTAAAATGCTTAGAAAGAAATTATAGTTTGGATTTTTAGACAATTCCATTAAAAAATGTAGCTAAAATCATCAAGATACCGAATATAGGATGGTACCAATATAAGGGTGATTTACGATATCGTGGACCTATATAGACAATACTCTTCCAGGGGGTTAGGTGCTCAGAAGGAAATCCTTTTGTGAATATTCAGACAATTTAATTGAACATTTTGGCTACAATCATCAAAATACCGAATATCGGGGAGTACTGTTATATGGGGGCTATATATTGACCTGCCTGCAAACAAAACATTTTTAGCTTCCTACAGACGGACGGATCATTCTGATATGGAATTTCGTCTCAGATTTTTACGCTGATCAAGAAAATATATACTTGGTTATGTCTAAAATTATTATTTCGATGAGTTACAAACGGTATGATGAACTTAATATACCCTCCATACTATGTATGCTGGAGAGTATAAAAATCCGTGTTATGGTTTCTATGGCATTTAAAATAAATTCTTTAAACCCGGCTAATATTGCTTGAATGGTCATTGAAATAATATCTAAAAATTCAAATGTTCTTTAAAAAGCCAGATATAAAGCCTGGATTTCCCTTAATAAACATTTTTCAATAATCCACTTTTATTTAGCTGGAATGACCCTTAAAAAATTCCTTAAAAATTTACATTTATAGCTTGGATGATCCCTGAAAAGATATCCTTTGGCTTGGATGACCCTTAATCAATGATGATCCTTGAAGAAATTTTTATGCCTGGATGATCCTCGAAACATATTTTTAAAAACCTGGAAGAATATCATTTCTTCCCAGTCTTATTCATTCTAGCCTAAAATGTTTAAAATGATTATTCTATTATTTTATATTAATTTTTGTTTTAAATTCCTCATTAACAGATGTATCAGTCATTAAAAATATCGATAACAATCAAGTTATCGTCGTCACGCTTTTATTTTGTTCACTACATGGCGCTGCGACAAATACAACTCTATATGCAATAACGATGATGACAGAAACAAACAACTGTCATCTGTCGCGTTCATTACTTGCACATTTGCGAAAAGTTGATTTCTGCTGTGTTGTGTTTCAAGCTAAATACAAAGGAAAGAAGATAATTCATTAAACTTTAGAATAAATTTTATAATAACACACAAATAAGTACGGTTATAAATTGGTTTGTCCAGACAAAACTGTTTTAACATTTAGTTTTTCGTAGGAAACATGGATCGTTTATTGCGTTTGGGTGGTGCTATGCCGCAAGCTGCTCCACCAACTGATGCTCCCGTTGTGGATACTGCCGAACAAGTATATATTTCCTCATTGGCCTTGTTGAAAATGTTAAAGCACGGTCGTGCTGGTGTACCCATGGAAGTTATGGGTCTGATGTTGGGTGAATTTGTTGACGACTACACTGTGCAGGTCATTGATGTCTTTGCTATGCCACAGACGGGTACCGGTGTTTCTGTGGAGGCCGTCGATCCTGTGTTCCAGGCGAAAATGTTGGATATGTTGAAACAAACTGGTCGCCCCGAAATGGTTGTTGGTTGGTATCACTCACATCCTGGTTTCGGATGTTGGTTATCCGGTGTCGATATCAATACACAACAGTCATTCGAGGCATTGTCCGAAAGAGCTGTGGCCGTTGTCGTCGATCCCATACAATCGGTTAAGGGTAAAGTTGTTATCGATGCCTTCCGTCTTATCAATCCCAATATGTTGGTTTTGGGCCAGGAGCCAAGACAGACCACCTCAAATTTGGGCCATTTACAAAAACCCTCCGTACAAGCACTGATACATGGTCTCAATCGCCATTACTATTCGATCAGCATTAATTATCGCAAAAATGAACTGGAACAGAAAATGTTGCTAAATCTTCACAAGAAATCCTGGAAGGATGGTCTAACATTGGAGGATTACAATGATCATAGTTCGATTAATGAGAGTACAGTACAAGAAATGTTAGAATTAGCCAAAAATTATAACAAGGTAAGAGAAATCGATTTTAATGTTTGTTTCAAATTAATATAATGTATTTTTGTTTTCAGTCTCTGGAAGATGAAGAAAAAATGACCCCCGAACAATTGGCCATTAAGAATGTCGGCAAACAAGATCCCAAACGTCATTTGGAGGAAAAGGTCGACAAGGTGATGCAAAACAATATCGTTCAGTGTCTGGGTGCTATGTTGGACACCATTGTCTTTAAATGAATCCCTGAAAAGGGGAAAGCTTAGCATTTAAATAACTCACACGCATCAAGTCATTGCGACTTTCTGCCCCCATATATTTTTCTCTCTTTGCTGTAATATTCTTTACATGTTAACCATCGTGAAAGCATTAAAATGAAACAACCCGAAGAAACAAAAACAAACGAAACATAACTTTGAGAATATTATTTATCAATAAAATATTTTCTAAAAGATACAGAGATGAACCTTCTTTCAAAAATATATGTGGAATACATGTCTCAATGACCTACAGCCTTACAAACGTTGATGTTTAAAGAACTAAAAGACTTCAATCTGTTGGATTTTTCAAAGAATGTTTTTGAAGGACAATTTGCAATGTAGTCTATGCCCTTTTTTCGGTATTTTGGTGATTAAAGCGACATTATTTACAAAAAATGTTTCAAATCTGGTATTTGAAGTTCGTAATGGGTACTACAGCCTATGTCAGAAAATTGCCTGTGCAGGTCCACGTTTTCGTAATCGTATTTTAATGATTTTAGCGACATTATTCACCGGAATTGTTTGTACCTCCCAATATTCGGTATTTTGATGATTTTAGCGGCATTATTCACCGGAACTGTTTCAAATTTGGTATTTGAAGTTCGTAATGAATACTGCAGCCTAAGGCAGAAAATTGTCTATGCAGGCCCACGACTTCGTATAGCCCCCTTATAACGGTACCTCCCGATATTCGGCATTTTGATGATTTTAGCTACATTATCCACCGATTTTTTTAAGTTTCGCATTTGAATATTGTAATGGCTTATGACAAAAGTTATCTATGCAGGTTCCTGTCGTCGAATAGACCCTAATATAAAAGCTACATTCGGTATTTTTAAAATTTTAAAAGAATTTTTAACAGATTTTATTGTTTTTGAAAATTGCCAAAAACGTTGCAAATGGGGGAGGGTATAAGTTCGGCCCGACCGAACTTGCAGCTATTTTACTTTTTTATTTTAAATATTAGTGAAGAAGAATCAACTATAATCGCAGACTTTTTAAAGACGTTTGTCAAAGAAAAGCTGGGCTTGACTGTAATCTATCTGTTAACGAATATTTTAGGGAGCATTAGAACTACAATTGTGATGTTTTAAGAACATTTTTTCAGAGACTGACAAGTTAACATGATTTTCAAGAATACTACTTAAAAATAATCGGAGCCATAGTAGATGAATATTTGATTTTTTTTTTTAATTTTTTACTTATATTTTTAAATAATTTGCCCTGTTCGAAAAACTGCAAGAATCTACTAATGTCGTAACTTCTTGTCTATAAATTTCTTTCTTTTTTTCTTTATTCAATTAATTCTTAATACTAAAGTCTCCAAGGCCAATTAAGTTTTAATATGTTTTAAATTTTTAATGCTATAAATATTTAGTCTGTGTTAAATTTTCCCATTCATAGATCACTACGTTACGTTATCACTAATTACGCTGGTATTTTTCTGATGGAACGCTTTTCATAAAAGAAGGTCATTCATTTCACCAGCTGTCAAAATAACTTAAAAAACAGCTGTTGTCACACACATACACATGCACACGTTTGTCAATCTGGGGAACACTTATGTTGCCAGCCTTTCTGGTTTGATTCATATTTTCTTCTGTGCTGTCTTTCGTTTCAGTGTTGCTGTATCGCAGTGTCCTAGTGTCCTTTGTTCGTTACTTCAGTTCTTTGATAATTCTGTTAATTCTGAAGTAATTTACTTGGAGTCAGGCAATGCAAATATGATTGTTTGCCGCCCTAGCACTCGCCACTGCACTACTAATACATTATCCTCTTCGTCCTCACTTCAACTTAAGAGATGTAAATCATTTTCACAATTTTTTTCGAAAGCGACGAAATTGAGTTTCAAAATACAAGCAATTTGTTTTATCTATTTTGTCAATAACGACGAAAAAATAATTATCGATAACTACTAATCGACTACATAGCAATGATACATGAGTACCAACTTCGTCTTGACGGCGAAACCAACTACCGAGTCCAAAAGAAAAAAAATTGACAAGGTTTGGAAAATAACTTTTGAGGGGAAAACACATCATACAATTAACACAAATAATTTATTAAAGTTTTATAAAATGGGTCTACTTGGTGGTCGTAATATATCGCTGGCATTATGCCTGTGTCTGGCTGTAGTTTTTATTTGCGGTGTTTCACATGCCGAATCGGAGAGTAAAAAAGAAATTCCAGCAACAAAATTTGGTCAAAGTCAATCAGCAACAATGACAGTTTTATACTGGTATGTGGTTACACTGCTCTCTCTCCCTCTCTCAACCCCCCATAGAATTTTGCAAATCATCAAGGAGTTACTGATAGTGTAATATTATAATATTTCTCTCAACAGTTATAGCTGCGGTTATCGCAAGGCATTCGAGGACTATGTCAATATCTTGGCCGACAAATATCCCCAAATTACGGTGACCGGTGGCAATTATGATCCACCCGGCATGAATATGTACTTCTCCAAGTTGATATTTGCCGTCAAGATCCTGCTGATTGTTGTGATTGTCTCGTCCTTTGACATCTTTGGTTCTTTCGGCCAAGCAACACCTAGCTGGTGGCGTCATTTGCTGGAGAATAAGTTGTATGCCTGTATGATGATATTCTTTGTGGGCAACATGTTGGAGGGTCAGGTGCGTATAACAATTTCACACTTTCTTTCTTTAGCTCTTATCTGCCGTCGAAGTGATAACAACAAAATGTTTTTATCTTTGTAGTTGGTGTCGTCGGGTGCCTTTGAAATTTCCCTCAACGATGTACCGGTCTGGTCAAAACTGCAAACTGGTCGCATACCAGCACCCCAAGAACTATTCCAAATTATCGACAATCAACTGCAGTTCAGTGACAAATTTCAAGAGAATCCAGACTTTGTTAAATAATCATTAGTACACTCCTTAGACTCGTTCAGCTCGTGACGTTGTGAAACATACATACATATATATTTTTTTAAGTTCATAGATATGTAATTCGTATTTACCCACCACACATGCACACCCATGGAATTTCTCCGGGAGTGTTCATCTTATTACTTTAGATTCGATTATATGTTTCATATATGGGTCTCTGGCGTTCTGCGGGTTTTATATTTTAGTTTTTTTTTTCTTTTCTTGGTCCCCTAATGACATTGTTCCTGAGTTTTTAGTTTCCTTTCCATTTTTTCCATTGTTTTAATTAATTGTAATTCAATCATAAATAACTTTTTGTAAATTAATAGTTAACAAAAGTGTAAACGTATAGAAAATGAAGTCTGTTGTTGTGTGAACAGCGAATAAAAATCGTTTGACATCACAAGTTGGTGTTTTCAATTCTGTTTGTCTCAAAACACGGATGTTAAAGAGTGGCAAATATGTATTGGTTTATTGCTTGGAAAAATGTAAATCCCGTTCGTAATACTCCCTTTGAGTTTGATGACTACAATTGTATATCTCAGACTTTCCTTTTTAACAACAAAAAATTTGTGGGGGAGGTACCAAAAAGAGTGGGCCGATGCATTCCATCTCCACAACGGATCTTTTGTTAGTGGAAATAATGGGATGTGTGAAATATAAAGAGAACCCGATGCTTATTTCGGATTTTATAAACGTTTTGGTTATTTAAAACTTTGACCATTTGTGGGGGAGGTACTAGGGGAAATTGTCCGATCTCTACCGATTTTTTAACAGATCCTGTGTTGATATAAATATTCAGATGTACCAAGTCTAAATGGAATCCGATGTTAATTTCGCGTTTTAGGAGCTTAATGGATATTCAAAATTTCGACCTTTTTGTGGTGGAGGTACTAGAAGGAGTGGACCGATATATTCCATCTTAACACCAGATCTGGGGTTTATGAAAATATATGGATGTGTGAAATTTGAAGACAATCGGAATCTGACATCACATTTTATAAGAGTTGTAATTATTCAAAATTTTGACCCTTTGTGGGGGAGGTACTTGATGGAGTGGACCGATATTGTCCATTTTCACACCTAACCTAGCACTGACGCAAATATTAGGATTTGCAAAGTTGGAGCAAAATCGGATTATCGTTTCTCTTTTTGTGCAAAAAATATATTTTTGAAAATTTCGACATTTTGTGTGGGAAGTACCAGAGGGAGTGGACCGATAAATTTAATTTTCACACCAGACCTTGCTTGGGTAAATAAAATTATTGAGATGTGTGAAATTTCAAGACAATCGGACTGTTACATAACATTTGTAATTATTCAAAGTTTTGACCCTTTTTGGGGGAGGTACTTAATGGAGTGCATTTACACTGTCCATTTTCGCACCTGACCTAGCATTGATGTAAATATTAGGATTTGCAAAGTTGGAGAAAAATCGGATTATCCTATCTTTTTGATAATAATATTACGATGTACCAACTTTGGCTCAAATCGGATACTCCCTTTGACAGTTATCGTTCGCACCAGCCAGCCAGACAGACGGAGGGACATCGCTAGATCGACTCCAAATGTCCTGAAACGGATTTGGTCCGAGGAGACCTTGGGTCTTAAACCGTTATTTCGATGTGGCACGTTTTGGCCGTATCAAATGATATATACCCTCTGAAGCCATATGACTGAGGGTATAAAAATCGAATATTATTTGACAATGAAAGGAATCGAAAGTGTAGAACAAAGGACTTACCCATTTATTTTCCCAAATGCTTCCAGAATTATTCTCTCCAATTTGTTTAAAAAAAACTCTGCCGTAATGATTCCGTTTCAGCAAATATCGACATTTTTAACGATATTACAAACCAAAATTAATTTACAAAATATAAAAAAAAAATTATTTGAATAATTTTACACCGCTATTTCAAAAGTACGCACATTTTAAGTCGCTTTTTTTGCATTTCCGCTGCGGTTATGAATGACATTAAAATTTTATATTTTTATCAAAGAGCTTTTCCAATATAACCAAATGTTCCAAATAAACCAGATAAACACTAAAAATTAGATCATGCGACGCATTTCCCGATACAAATTAATTTTTTTCGAAACTTGAATTTAAACCCGACAAACCCGAACCAATATTCACCGCGAAAATCAATTAGAATCCGACAAACGACTTTGAAACTTTAATTTAACTCGAAACAATATTCACTGCGAAACTCCAATTGGAATCCGACAAATTGTAATTTTCTATTTTTAAAGGAAAATTTCTTATTTGAAAACACTTTCATTGTTAATTTTATATGAATGCAATTTTTTAATTTATATATTTTTTAATTTTTTTCTAAACACATTATGATTAACAAAATAATCTTTCGTATAGTTTTTTAATTGTAAACAGTTTACTTTTATCGCTTGAAGCCAACGTATTTTTTTATTGGAAAAGAGACCAATTCTCAGTCATTTATATGACTGTTTCTTTTCTTTGTATTATCTTCACTATGGGTACGGAAACGGAATATGATTTCTTGTTTGTTGTTGTACAGGTTTCCTTTGCAAGGGGAACAATGGAATTGACATTTCCGTTGGCGCACTTTTTTCTCACATATCAAAGTTGAATGTGCGTGCATAAACGGCGTGTGAGCATCGTCTTACGGCGGCAATACAAAACAACACCTCTTTCGAGTTCTCACGAAACCGTTAGACGAGAATAAGAATATTTTTCACATCAAATTTTCTAAGGTTTTTAACAACTTTTCGTAGCAAAATACAATTGTCCACACTTTCAGTAATATTAATTTATACTTTGCAACAATTTTTAGAACATAAAACGTTCTATTTTAAATAAACTACCGAAAACACTCACGACGAACACGATCACGACCACAACGAACAAAGAGAAGCGATAACTAAATTGCAAATGGTTATGGCAGTAAGTTATCGATTACACGGTGTTGCATTTTAATGACTGACAGCGATTCTTTTTAAGGGAAATCAAATCCATTTTTGGGTGTCTATGCAAAACCGTTATGAGAGTACATTTTGTTTTTTATATTTTTTACTCTATTTTTTACTCTACTATTTTTTACTTTTTTAACTTGTTTTAATTTTTATAACTCCGTTAATTATTTGTTTATTTAAACACATTTAAGAGCAGGATATTAATTGCCTTAAAGTTAATAATTTTCGAGACATTTTAAAATGTATGGGACATCTTTTATTAAAAACTAATTTTTGCTCTTGTAACACTTCAGAACTTAATACAAAACCTTATCAGATTTTGTTATTAAATGTACTTTATTTGCTTTAAACCACAAATACACATACCACTAAATATTTTTCGATTTTTCCTGTTTGTTGCTTTTCCGTTGGCGCCCTTTTTTCTCACATTTCAATGTTGAACCTTCGAACATTAACGACGTGCGAGTGCCAGCTGACTGCGGCAATCGAAATACCCACCAACTATGAAACCGTTAGTCGAATGTTTTTACACCATTTCTTTAAGTTTTTCAAAAACTTTTCTTAGCAAAATTCATTTCCCCCACTTTCGCTAATGTTTATTTACATTTTCCAATATGTTTTAGAACTTTAAACAGGTTATATTTTAAATAAATTGCTAAAAACACTGACGACGAACGCGATCACGACCGCAACGAAAAAAGAGCAGCAATAACTAAATTGCAAATGGTGATGGCAGTAAGTTATCGATTACACGGTGTTGCATTTTAATGACGGACAGCGATTCTTTTTAAGGGAAACAAAAATGGCACATTTTTTATCAATGAAAATACTTTGCTGGCATAAAGGCTCCATTTTTGGGTGTCGATGCAAACCGTTATGAGGGTATATTTTGTTTTTTATATTTTTTTACTCCTAACTTTTTTCATATGGTTTTAATTTTTATAACTACATTAATTATTTATTTATTTAAACACATTTAAGACCAGGATACTAATTGCATTAAAGTTAATAGTTTTCGAGACAATTTTAAGTTTATGGGACATCTTTTATTAAAAACTAATATTTGCTCTTTTAACACTTCAGAACTCAATACAAGACCTCATCTGATTTTGTTATTTATTTATTTTATTTGCTTTAAATCACAAACACATACACACACCACTATAAAATATTCGTTTATTTTTATTTCCTCTTTGTTGCTTTTCCGTTGGAGCCCCTTTTTTTCACATACCAATGTTGAACCATCGAACATTAACGGCGTGCGAGCGCCGGCTGACTGCGCCAATCGATATATCCACCAACTATGAAATCCAATGAAACCGTTAGCCGAAAACAAGAATATTTTTACACAATTTTTTATGTTTTTCAACAACTTTTCGTATCAAAATTCATTTTCCCCCACTTTCGCTAATGTTTATTTACTGTTTCCAATAGTTTTTAGAACTTTAAACACGTTATACTTTAAATAAATTGCTTAAAACACTGACGACGAACGCGATCACGACCACAACGAACAAAGAGCAGCGATAACTAAATTGCAAATGGTGGTGGCAGTAAGTTATCGATTACACGGTGACGGGCAGTGATTCTTTTTAAGGGGAATCAAAATTGCAATTTTTTTATCAATGAAAGTCCTTTTTGGCACAAAGGCTCCATTTTTGGGTGTCGATGCAAAACCGTTATGAGAGTATATTTTGTTTTTTATATTTTATACTCCTAACTTTTTTATATGGTTTTAACTTTTATAACTACTTTAATTATTTGATTATTTTTTAAATTGTTAAAAAGCACTCACGACAACGTCACAACGATCTCCGATAACTAAACCAAGAAATTAAAATAACCTTTATTTTATTGTACTATACTTCAAAAAAATATTTGTTTCCTCATGTCGAGTTTTAAAGCATATGCAAAATAACTAAGTTAAATACACGACCTCCTATTAATTCCAAATTATTGTTCAATATTTAATTATTATACCTATACAGGGTGAGATGATAAAACTGCAACAAAGTCAAACGCCGTAATTTTTACATTTTTTTCTTAAATTTTATTGAATGAAAGCAAAAATGTCGGAAATAGCATCAAAAGTTATAATAAGTTTAGATTTGTTCGAATTGGTTACCTTTGCCACGAATTATGGTCTTCAAACGGTCAATGAAACTGTCACACGCGGCCGAATATTGCGCTGCTGTATTTTGGCCCATTCCCGGGGAAGTGCTTGCATGAGGTGATCGACACTTTGGTATTTTTTAGTGCCATACTTGTTACCGAAATTCTCCAGACACAATAGTCCAACGGATTGGTATCCGGAGATTTTGGTGGTCATTGTGCGCTGGAAATGAAGCGAGGAACCTCATTTTGTAACCATTCTTGTGTGGCGCGTGCTGAGTGCGATAGTGCGCGCTGAGTCCTGTTGGAATGTCCAAGGTCTGCGGCCAAAATGTTTGCGTGCCCAAGGCTTTAATACACCCTCCTGAATATTTTCGTGATAATATTCGGCATTTATTCTGATGTCACGATCGATTAATGCGAGCGGACAAATTGCTGGATAACGAATGTTTTCTCATCTGAGACGGCGAAAATTGAATTCGACAGTTCACTACTTTCGGCCAAGCGAAATTACTCTTTAGCTCTTTTGAGTCTATTTTCTTTCCGTTGCGGTGTAAGTTCTTGCACTTATTGGAATTTTAATGGCTTTTCCCCGAGTTCATTTTTCAATGTTTGCCGAATGGAATATTGCGATATGTTCAGCTCACGAGCCATTTTTCGGCCACTGCGACACGGGTTTCGATCAAGTCGTTTTTTTACTTTTCGGACCATTTCGGCTAATGTTGCTGTTTTCTTCTGTCCATTTCCTTGACGTCGGGCGATGGTACGAGACACGAGCGATGCTACAAGACACCAAAGATTTATTCACACATTTAAATGCTGGAGTGCTCTGACAGCCACTTCTGGTTTTCCAGCCAAATATAAAGAAATCACACTATCACGCTTGAATTCCATCACGAATCAGTTTTTTTCCTGGAAAATTCTCACCAAAATGTTTTTGTACGCTTGTAAACAATATAATGAGCTGTCACTGGGATAATTTTAACAGCTGTCGGATGAGTGGCTTAGAAACGACAGCAGTCTGATGTTAGTTTTGGTTTTTTCATCTCACCCTGTACATATTTAGCAGGGCAACCCGTAAAAAATAAGCGATCATATTGGGAGTATATAAACAAAACAAGGACAAACAAATACAGAGAGAGAGAGACCTTGTTATCACATCATGACAACATAACGTGGAAAGAGACAACAGTCAATATAGGAGCTTCGTTATCCTTCAAAATTATTTTTTGAAGGTGTGGGGGGTATATAAAAAAGGTAGAAATTCGAAATCTTATTTTGATTTTAATTACATTTTTATTTTTATTAGCATATTTGATTGTGTTTTTTTTGCATTTGGAAAAAAATACAATGTAGGTATAAAATATTTCAAAAATATTTTATAGCTTAAGCTAGACGCTAGTTGATAAACAATTTTGTTACAATGGCTCAAGTTATTCAGAATCGCTGAAAGATATTGGAAATTGAATGCAAAGGCAGTGTACATTATTTGAATAACAGCCCAAGGAAAGATAGGTATTTGGCTTGGGAATGCTGTCAAGGAGGAGTTCCATTTACAAATTTGCATTATTTTATTTAATTTTATAATATTTTATTATTTAGTTTTTTTGCAATGTTTTTTAAAAAATAATAATGGCACGTATTTCTCTGTTCTTTTACAAATTAATGGCAGAATTGTGGTTGTATTTTTAAATTCCTTTTCTTCTTCAGATACAGACATCTACTTTCAATAATGGTCGGTTTAAAACTGGGACTGGGTATTCTTAGGTTTGTTGCGTTAATTTATGGCTACTTAAGTGTTAAGGAAACATAGTAAGTGTAATAGTATTTAGACAACATAAAAAATTAAAAAAAAATAGATTTCGTTTTTGTTTTTTGTTTAGTCTAGTATCTAAGGAGCTGTGGTATCGGCTCTGGGATAACGACTACGGTAGTTGCGGCCTGGCCAGTTTTGTCCAGTTCGTCTGTGATAGTTGGTATTTGGCCGGCGTTGATATGTGGGCTGGTGTTGCTGTGGAGCTGGCACCACCTGCTCATAGCCGCGTCTCAATTCACGGGCCGAGGTATCGACTCGCTCGAGACGTGTGACAAATGAATCATTGCGACGACGACACACAGAACATCTGGAAAGTTAGGGGCATTAGTAATCATGTTCAGAGTTGAAAAAAAATCGCAAAAACACATACCTGCTGATCTTACTGGTCTGATCCTTCTTCAATGTTCTTTGTACTGGCATCTGCCATTGTTCGTGCTCTTCGATCACGGCCAACCAGAATGAAGTGACAGGATTGTACAAATTGCAATTGCCCTGACCGTGACACTCAATAATGGGTTGGGCACGGAATTCCTCCAAGCAAGAGCCGGGTGAGACAAGATTTTGACCCATACCGCCGGTGTTATCGGTAGTTGTCTAGAGAAGTTAAAAAATTCCATAAGAAAATAAAATCATCTTTCAAGCCCCGACCAAAATTTAACTTACCATGAAGTAACTGTAGCCAGTCCACATTTCCTCCCAGCCATTGGGACAGTCGGGAATGCTCATGCTTTGACTGTGCAAAGCAATTACCTTGGTGGTAGTTTCGCAGACAGCACAACTGGAAAAGGAACAAAACAAAAATTAGGAACATCCACGCCACCTCCTCGATTCCTCTACTCACCGTGAAATGTATTTCTGAATAACATTAGCCTGGATGGGAACCATGGCGAAATTCATTGGCTCATCCGTGGCCAGCCACATACTGTCATCGTTGGTCTGGCCATAATTACAGACACTGCCGTCACATGTCATATACGGCATGGTGCTGAAACGTTGCAAACACGAACCGGAACGGCCCAAGTCTTGAGCAACGGCACGTGAATTGGCAATATTACCGGCCAGCGAATAACCCACCCACATTAGATTGGTGTTGGCGGGACATTCAGGAATCAGCACAGACTGAGAATGGCGGGCGAAAATGAAACCGCGACTCTTTGGACGTGGTGGTGGTGGGGCGGGATCACCCTCGGGACCCTTGGCACCGGCCAAGCCAGTAAAGCCAGCCAAACCTGGTGGACCTTGCATACCGCGTTCACCCTTTGGACCATCCAAACCCATTTGACCGGTCAAACCACGTTCACCCTGGTAACCCTTCAAGCCATAAGCACCTTGGAAGCCAACTTCACCTTCTGCGCCCACATCGCCCATTTCACCCTTGAAGCCATCAATACCAGGCTCACCACGTTCTCCCTTACGTGCCATATGGAAGGGAAATGTTACACCGGGCTCACCACGAGGACCGGGCAAGCCATCCAAACCATTTCTGCCATCGAAACCGGCATCACCAGTTGGACCGCGGGGACCACGTGCGCCCATGGGACCGGTGCGACCAGGTCGGCCATGCATACCCATTTCACCCTTCAAACCTTGGGGACCACGAGCACCGGGCGGACCAGCATCACCACGATCACCGCGCATACCATGAATAACATATCCGGGTTCACCACGCATGCCCTGGGGACCAACATCACCACGCTCGCCCTTGAAACCAACCATGCCGTGCAAACCATTGTGGCCAGGTGGGCCAGGATAACCAATATCACCTTGCATACCCTTGGGACCCATGATGCTCATGCCCATTTCACCCTTGATGCCATTGAAGCCATAATCACCCATATCACCAGGGGCACCCTTGGGACCAACACGTCCGGGACGGCCGGGCAAACCATCATAACCCACATCACCTTCATCACCGGGCTCAGCATAGTCGGGAGTCATACCAGGAGGACCGGGATAGCCCTTGTCGCCTCGTTCACCATCCACACCTGGATAGCCATCGGCACCTGGGGCTCCAGCAAAGCCAAAGTCGCCACGTTCACCCTTGCGGCCGGGATAACCTGGGGCACCTTCCATACCCGTCTCACCCATGGGACCCTGTTGGCCTCTGAGACCAGGTTGACCCTTGTCACCTCTTTGCGCATAGCCAGCCAACAAAACACCGGGACGACCAGGGAAACCTTCATCACCCTGTTCACCTTTGGGACCAAAGGCACCTGGCTCACCAGCATCACCGCGATCACCAATTTGTCCCACATAGCCAGCATAACCTTCGTCACCGCGTTCACCAACTTGGCCTTGATAACCCATTTCACCCATGGGACCCACAGCTCCATCAATGCCTGGCAGGCCGGGTCTTCCAGGATAGCCGGGTTGGCCCTTGTCGCCGCGATCACCAATTGCACCAATCAGACCCATTATACCATAGTCACCGCGCATACCCTTGAGACCATCCAAGCCATTGATGCCATCCACGCCGGGTGCACCAGTTTCACCCTTTCTGCCCATTGGGCCATCTTGGCCATAGGCCTCATCACCGGGAGCACCTTGAACACCCTTTTCACCGGGCATACCATCGTAACCACGAGGTCCACGTTGACCTGGCTCACCATATTCGCCCTTGATGCCACTGCGCGAGGCAAAACCTTTAGCACCAACACGACCAGGATAACCGCGATCACCCTCGACACCCTTGCGGCCGGGGATACCATCATTGCCTCTGCGTCCATAGGGACCAACATCACCCATTTGACCTGAAACCAAATCAACATTTTCATAACCCACAATTTTCGGAGAAAATTACAACAACATACCTTTGGGACCCATCGAGCCAATGGAACCTCTTTGACCCATATCTCCGTGACGACCATCTTCTCCCAACTCACCGCGTTCACCTTGCTCACCAGGAATGCCAACCAAACCTTGCATACCAATGACACCGGGAATGCCCTGGAAACCTCTGTCACCATGAGGACCACGTCTGCCGGGGAATCCAATATCACCCTTGGCACCTTGTACACCCTGGACACCGGGAACACCGGTTTCACCCTTTTGACCCTTGCGACCATGTGGGGCAATACGGCCATTGATACCTGGTTCACCAGCAGCACCTTGGAAGCCGACCAATGTATCACCAATGACACCCTTGTTGCCAGGCAAGCCCTGTAGACCATAGGGACCAATGTCGCCCTTTTCACCGCGTACACCCTTCACACCGGGTCTGCCAGTGACTCCGGGCCTACCTCTGAAGCCCATATCACCATACATACCCTTGGGACCCTCTGGACCGTCAGGACCCATCTCGCCAGGTAGAATGTATGGACCAGGATCACCACGAACACCTTTAACACCAGCCACGCCATCGATACCAGGAGCACCATCCAAACCCTCCATACCATGAGCACCGTGGAGACCCACTTCACCGGTAACGCCAGGATAGCCCTTGGCACCCATGGGACCTTGAATAACAATACCAGGCAGACCAATGTCACCGCGTTCGCCGTTATCGCCATTGGTACCGCGTTCGCCTTTTGGACCTTGGGGACCACGTGGACCTGGCTCACCAACATCACCAGGTTCGCCTCTGTTGTCGAATATTTCACCGGGATGGGGTTGACCCTTTTCACCCTTGGGACCCATATCACCAGGCTCACCGGCTACACCCCTGCAAATACAAAAAAGACATAGCCATTAGCAAGGCCCACCCAAACTATGTCGAGGCGGCTACTCACTTGCGACCATCGTAACCCTTTTCTCCAATCAAATACAACTTGGGAGTGTTGGCATCACGACCAGGTCGACCATCTTTACCTGGCTTGCCAGGGGCACCATCTCGTCCAGGCCTGCCGGGCTCACCGAAATCACCGCGTATGCCTCTTTCACCTTTCTGGCCATGTAAACCGTGAGCACCGTTAAGACCACGATCACCAGTTAGACCCTGTACTCCACGTTCGCCCATATCACCCATGTCACCCTTTTCGGCCTTCGTCAAAGAGCCAACTCTCATAACTTTACCTGGAGGACCAGGCATACCGGGTCTGCCACTTTCACCGGGAATACCATCGGGACCGGGTTGACCTTTGAAGCCCATGAAACCAGGTTTTCCTTGTTGGCCCTTGGGTCCACGCTCGCCAGGCAAGCCATGGGGACCAGTAACGCCATGGACACCAGGGAAACCATCATCACCACGAATACCGCGCATGCCTTTGGGTCCGGCCGGGCAAATGCCACAATCATCACCGCGAACACCCTTGTCACCGGTAAGGCCACGATAACCAGGCTGACCGTCAATACCAGGAGGACCACGAACACCAGGGGGACCGTGGGCGCCAGGTGGACCAACAATGTTAACACCCAGACCGGGCAAACCTTTTTCACCGGAGAAACCAATTTCACCACGATCACCACGATGTCCAGGCAAACCAGGCATACCCGGTTGACCAGCATAACCTTTGGGACCAACTACATTGCGACCATCAGCACCACGTGCACCGGGACGGCCAACGGGACCAGGACGACCGGGGTTACCCATGGGACCAGCAGGTCCCATAAATCCGTAATCACCTTCATCACCCTTAATGCTGATACCGCGACGACCAGGCATACCGGGTAGACCGGGATCACCGGGTGGACCGGTATTACCACGGGGACCGAGACGACCTTGTTTGCCGGGAATACCGGGGAGACCTGGATCACCGGGAGGACCAATATCACCCTGAGGGCCAATGGGACCGGGCAGCGATTCATCCAAATTGGGATCGTAAATACCAGGAGGGCCGGCATAACCCTGAACACCGGGAATACCATCGTAGCCATCATCACCCATCTCACCCTTAAGACCGTCTTCGCCATCTCTGCCATTGTAGCCGGGAGCACCCTTTACACCTTTGGCGCCAGGGAAACCCGTCTCACCGGGCTTACCAGGTTTACCACGTTCACCGGGTTCGCCGGAATCACCACGAGCGCCGGGGAAACCATCACGACCCATGTCACCCTTTTCACCCTGTTCACCTTTTCTGCCTTGGTCACCGCGTTCGCCCACATCACCGGCATAGCCTTTGGGAATGTTGCCATTTGGCTCGAATGGGAATTCTTCGGCCTCACCCGGTTCACCCTTTTCACCTTGTTCTCCTTGCAGCTGCAAAATGATGTTAGCATCTTCGGCCATTTCACCCTTGAAACCCTTGGGACCCATTTCACCCTTGGGACCATCAGCGCCAGGGAAACCAATGTCACCCTTGTAACCTTTCATGCCGGGGAAACCAGTCTGGCCGTCATAGCCATCGGGGCCACGATCACCGCGGCTACCCTTGGTACCTTTCGAATTGATGCCACCCTCGCCGGCATCACCTTGGGGACCTGGAGGGCCGGGTTTGCCGACATCACCGCGAGGACCGTGTCTACCGGGAGCACCGTTGTCACCATGTTTACCGGGTTTGCCGGCACAGCCATCAATACCGCGTGGACCATGTGGACCATCTTCGCCGGGAGGACCCTGAGGGAGAGAAACACGATTCAAAAACAATCCAAATAAAAAAGATGTGTTGCCAAACTTACACGAACACCAGGAGCGCCAGGTAGACCAGGTTCACCAGCATCACCCTATGGCAAAGAGATTGGAATAAATTATTATTTTGTGGTCCTTCGATGAAATTCAGTTTTACTTACACGATGACCCTTTTCACCTTGTTCACCGTACTCGCCAGCATCACCCCATTCACCGGGACGACCGGGAGGTCCAGGTGGACCCATATCACCGGCTGGACCTTCATAGCCCTGGAAACCGGGCAGACCGATATCACCGGGACGTCCCTTCAAACCTTTGCAATCGCAAGCCAAACCGCCGCAGTTTCTATCGGGTTGCTGTTGTTGTTCCTGCAATAAAATTGGAGGGAGAGAGAGGGTGGTAAGTAAATATCCAAAAAACAAATAAAGCAATAAAATCATGGAGTTCTGACTCATCGTGACATCGGAAAGTAAAAGGAATTTGTGGCGGCAATGCATTTCAATTAAAATCAATAAAAAAGCAAACCCCCCTCTGGCATATTTTCCAATGATTTATTGGACCTCACAGACCACAGAAACAAAAACTTCGGTTGTTTCAGTTTAGGATGGTCTTTGTGAGTCCGCCTCTCAAGAGAGTGTCTTTGAAATGTTGTATTGTTTTTTTCGAATGATTTGTGACGGAGGAGGACGAAAGGAAGTGTCGATTTTTTATGCGGACAGATATACATACACATGTATGGTTATATGTCTGTAAGAAGTAAGGTCGTCTGTTTATTGTGTCCATTCCGCCAAACAATCGTTTCATTTGTCTGATTCGACAACAACTGAAGTCAATGCTGATAGCACGACGAACATGTCTGATGTTTGAAAGGAATTTTTCAAGAATTGTTGTAGTTCATCGAAATAAAAGGGGTTTCGATAGGTCCCATTTCAGGACGTTTGGAGTCCATTTATCCTATAAATCCTGGAGGGTGGGGCAATAAGATTTGGTTCAAATTGTGGAGATTGTCGAATGTTAAAACTTCGAATGAGTTCGAAAATGGCTAACATGGACTAAAAGTGTTGATCTTAATTCCGCAACGAGGGGTCCTAATGTTGATATCAGTGTTGGGCCAGGTACAAAAGGGAAAATATCGAACCACTCCTTTCCCACGCCTTTCAAATAACCAACTCGGATAAAAATTTATCTAGACACCAACAGTACATTAGTACTTGTAGTACTTTTTGTACTTAATAGTACTTTTGTGTATATTTTTAGTACTCATTTTTAAAAACAAACTTCACATTATAATTCCAGATACCAACAGAGACCTTAATATCAAATTTGAGGATTCCAGCTCTATCCTTTCAGCCATTACCAAATTTAGTACCATTTAGTACAATTATAGCACACGTTCTCAAAAATCACCATCATACTCAACTTCAACTTCAGAAACCAACAGCGATCTCAATAACAAATTTGAGGGTTCCCTTCACCAAATACCAAATTTAGTACTATTCGTACAAATATAGTACTATTTTGGTACTTTTCGTCAATAAGAGTACGAATATCCAAAATCACCTTCATCTCTCAATCCCAAATACCGACACAGACTTCAATGTTAAATTTCAGGATTTTAGGTCTATCTCTTCACCAAATACCAAGTTTAGTACCATTTGGTACTTTTCGTATAAATAATGAATGAATTTCGAAACCACCGCTAAATCTCAAGCATAGATACCATCGGTAATCTAAATATCACATTTCAGGATTTTAGCTCTATTCATTCACCCAACACCAAATTTAGTACTATTTTGGTACTTTTTGTACAAATATTGGACGCTTTTCCAAAAACCACCAACATATCTCAATCCCAAACACCAACAGAGACCTCAATATCAAATTTGAGGATTCCAGCTCTATTCCTTCAGCCAATATCAAATTTAGTACGATTTAATACTTTTCGTAGAAATATAGGACGCATTTCCAAATCACCGTTAAATCACAAGCCAGATACCATCTATTACCTAAATGTCAAATTTCAAAATTTTTATCTCTATTCCTTCACCCAATACCAAATATAGTACCATTTAGTACTTCTCGTATAATTGTAGTACACATTTCCGAAACCACCATCATATGTCCAGGCTACACATAAACAACGACCCTAACACCAAATTTCAGATTTCAAGCACAATCAGATTTCAAGCACCCTGTACCAAATTGTTCCAAATATAGTACTATTTAGGACTTCTCGTACAATTATAGTAGACATTGTCAAAAATCTCTTTATCACAAACCTAACACTAACAACATTTCAAAATTCCAGCTTCATCCGTTCAGTCCAAACCAAACTATTCTAAATTTAGTACCATTTGGTACGATTCGCACACTTAGTACACGTTTCTAAAACCACATCAATATCTCAATCCCAAATACCAACAGAGTCCTCAATATCAAATTTTAAGGATTTCAGTTTTATCCATTCATCCAATACCAAATATAGTACCATGCAGTACTTTTCGTACAATTATAGTACACATTTTCGAAACCACCTCCAAATGTCCAGGCTACACATCAAAAACGATCCCAATACCGAATTTCAGATTTGAAATACTATCTATTGAGCCAATACCAAATTGTACCAAATATAGTAATATTTAGTACTTTTCGTACAATTATAGTACACATTTTCGTACAATTATAGTACACATATGGAGGAGGTATATGCCCAGGCTACACAAGAACAGCGAGGCTTACATCAAATTACAGATTTTAGACTCTGTTCCAAATAGTACCAGATATAGTACTGTTTAGTACTATTCGTGCATTTGTAGTACACATCTCCCAAAACCCACCAACATGGACCCCAATACAAAATTTTCAAATTCCAGCTTTTTCTGTTCAACCATATCGGAATTGTACCAAACTTTGTACCATTTAGTATTGTTCCCAAACTTAGTACTCATTTCCAAAACCACCTTCAAACGTACTTTCAAACTTGATCCTCATACAAAATTTGGGGTTTTTAGCTCTATCTATTTCAAAATGCTAAATGGTACCATTTTAGGAGTTTAGTACTAGTTTAGGACTTTTCGTAACCTTAAGTTTCGAATTTCCAAGAAAAACCTTTTGGTACATCTATCCTGCACTCCATCAGTGACTCTCATTCAAAATTTCAGAGTTCTAGCTCAATTCCTTTGAACAATACAGAGTATTAAATTTTTAGTACATTTTAGTACTTTACGTAGCCTTTTGGTACGAATTTTCAAAAACCTAGATTTCTTTTTAATTTTTTGAAGACTTGTGGGGGGAAATACGGATTTGGCCCACTTTTTAAAAAAATATTAAATTGTGCTAAATTTTGACGAAATAGGACACCCCCTTCTATAACTCCTGAGCAGCCAAGCAAAGAGGTGAACGAATATGCAGAGATCGACTCCCAGTGTTCTGAGTTCACTGATTTCGCCCTAAGAGACAAAATATGCGTCATCGAAAATACAGTTATTTAGATTAGTCTATAGAATGATGTGATCCCTCTCAAACCATAAGAACCACAATTAGTCGGAATTTTGAAACCGAATTTTTTTTTTTCAAAAAATTACTCTTTGAAAAATTATTGCTACCAAAAAGTTTAGGACCATCTAAAAACTGGTTTCACTGTACTCTCAGCTTTGTTTCTATAGTTTTTTTCTCTAAAAATCCTCTGAAATCAAATCTTATTTTGGCGAAGAAAAAAAAAAAACTCAACACAAAATTAGCAAATACTAAAATTTCTGCTTTAATTGCAGTATTTCCGTTTGCCTTAGTTGGGGAGAGGGAAGATGGTGATGGCAATGGTGTTGCATTTTGTTATAAAGCGGTATTGGAAATGCAATCTGATGCTTATGATCACCCGGTACCGTGAGCATAAGTTCAGGAGGAGGCTTTGTATGTGTTGGAGAAAAAAGTGTAAGTGTGTGTGTGTTTGAGTCGTGTGTTCCAATGCTTATCATATAGCATGCTTCTGGAACTGCATTAGATTACATTGTTGGCAAAATTTTGTGTTTTTTATTTTTTTCTTTAAATGTTCATAAATTTTCGTACATTTTTTTCTGTATTGTTGATTTATGTATGTTTTTTGCATTATTTTCGAAATTATTTTTTATTATGCGAAACAGGGAAAATGTGTATTTGTGTTTGTGTGGGTGTGTTTTTTTTGAATTGGCGCCATGTGGCGGTCATTTTTTGTTTGTCTAAAAAAACTAAATACGAAAGGCTAAATACGAAAGGAAGGACTTCAATTAAAAATTCCTGGTCTGACCAGAACAAAGCCCACTTACTGACTTTTATTGAAAATATCAATTCAGCAAAGCTTTTTATACCCTCAGCCATATGGCTACAGGGGGTATTTATCATTTGATATGGCCCAAACGTGCCTCATCGAAATAGCGAATTCCGGACAATGGGAGTCATTCTCGCATATTTCTGACATCATCAGTTTTTTTTTTGAAATAACGGCTTTAGACCCTATGTCTCTTTGGACCAACTCCATTTCAGGACTTTTGGAGACGATCTAGTGATGTCCTTCCGCCTGTCTGGGTGGTGAGCACGATAACTCTCGAAGGGAGTATCCGATTTGGCCCAAACTTGGTACATCGTAATATTTTTGTCAAACTTAGAACGACTTTGGTCCACTCCATTTGGTAACTCCCCCACAAAATTTCGAAATTTTCAAAAAAAAAAAATATAAATATTTTACTGCACGGAAGGAGAAGGGATAATTTTATTTTGCTCCAACTTAGCAAATCCTAATATTTGCGTCAGTGCTAGGTCAAGTGTGAAAATGGACAATATCGGTCCACTCCATCAAGTACCTCAACCACAAAGGGTCAACATTTTTGAATAATTATAACTCTTATAATATGTGATGTAAGAGTCCGATTGTCTTCAAATTACTCACATCGCAATATTTTTATTAACCCCAGGTCTGATGTAAAGATGGGATATATTGGCATACTGCTTCTGGTAACTCCCCCACAAAGGGATCAAAATTTGGAATATCCATGAAGCTCATAGAACGCATAGTTAATATCTGATTCCATTCAGACTTGGTACATCTCAATATTTCCATCAACACAAGATCCATTATAAAAATGGTAGCGATCGGACCACACCTTCTGGTACCTCCCCCACAACGGGTCAAAATTTTGAATAACGAAAATGAGCATAAAATCCGAAATAAGCATCCGGTTCTCTTCATATTTCGCATATATCATTATTTATACTAACACAAGATCTGCTGTAAAGATGGGCTATATCGGCACACTGCTTCTGGTACCTCCCCCACGAAGGGACAAAATTCTGAATATCCATGAAGCTCATAAAACGCGAAATTCACATCCGATTC